AAAAAAAAAAAAAAGAAACAATGAAGACAACCTTGGATTTTACAGAACTTCTGGATATCCTTGAGAAAGTGAGCTGCTAAGTATTAAAACTTCCTGAATAGTCCTGTTTCTCATATTCTGGTTGCTATATGACAAAAAGTATTAGATACCAATATACCGCGGAACCCTATCCAATTTCATGTAATGGGAAAAAAATGAGTTACTTTTACTTTTAAGTTCCTTATATCTCATGCTTATGCATTGATTTATTTCCGGACACTCTACAGAGTGGTGGCGTTCAGCATCTCTGTCGAATTTAAGAATCAAGAACGCACAATAATATGCTACTTGCGGTTGCACTGAAATGACAGTTTCTTACTATAAATGCTGCATAACTTCAGGTGTTTCCCGAGGGAAAGGTCAGGATCTATTTCTTAAAGCTTTCAATGAAGCTCTGCAGCTCCGCCGAGAGAGGAAACTGAAAGTGCCACCAATGCATGCGGTTGTAGTGGGGAGTGACATGGGTGCCCAGACAAAGTTTGAAACAGAATTACGTAAATTTGTTGATGAAAAGAAAATTCAGGACAGCGTGCGCTTTGTGAACAAAACATTGAATGTAGCTCCTTATCTAGCTTCCATTGATGTTCTTGTACAGAACTCTCAGGTGATCCTTATTTTTATTTTTTCCCATTAGGCACAATATTTATGTTTTTTTGCATCACTCGGATATTGAGCTTTCCGGATTTTTTTCTATACTGTATAATCTATTTTCAAGTTAATAATGATAATAATTTTGGGAGAGGTAAGTACTAGATAAAAATACCTTTTGATGCTATATGGGTGTAAGTTGGTCATTCTAAAATAACTAAAAAATAACCGTATCAATGACTGTATCATTGATCGTATCAATGATGCTGTTTTTGGAATGATTTATGGACTTAAAAAAAAAAAAAAAAAAAACGTATCAATGACTGCTGTTTTTGGAAATGCATCCACTTGCATGCATAGATGAGTCTGATTACTGTTTTCTGTACTGAAAAGAGGATCATATTTTTTGTAATCCAGGCTCGTGGAGAGTGCTTTGGGAGGATAACCATTGAAGCTATGGCCTTCCAGCTTCCTGTATTGGTAGGATTCATAATCTCGTGATATTTTATGCGTTGTAAAGCTTTTGGGTATCTTTGAGAGTGCTCATATAGAATCGTCAATGTTTAAACTTCTATATGCCAGTATCAGAGGAATTTATTTCTACCTATCAAACTTCAACGACTCCCTCCGGTTTAAAATAATTGTTGCTTTAAAATGTAAGACATTTTTAACCCAAAATGTACAAAATTTTATCCTTTCACGTAGTTATCTTCAAAATGATGTTGTAAGCAAGACATACATTGAATACCCTACTTATATAGCCATTTTGTAAGATTTCTTAAATTCATGTGAAATCTTCTACATGACAATTATTTCGGGAATAGTTTCCATTTTGTATTAAACAATGACTTGCATATGCTCGTCCACTAACCAACTCTCTACATTTTGGTTAATGGACTCCATTTGGATTTTCTTCACCTATGCACACGACTAAGCATTTTATAAATCATATTCTTTAGGGCACAGCTGCCGGGGGCACAACTGAGATTGTAGTAAATGGCACGACAGGCTGGTTGCATCCAGCTGGCAAAGAAGGCGTAACGGCTCTTGCAGAAAACATCATTCGACTGGCCAAAGACTCCGAGACGAGAAGGAGAATGGGATTGAAGGGTTATGATCGGGTCAATGAAATGTTCTTGGAACACCACATGTCGCGTAGGATATCATCAGTCTTGAAGGAGGTTCTACGAAAGGCAAAGAGAGGGTGATTAATTCGAAAGGCATTTTCCAGGTTATTAAATCATTTTTCATACTTTTGATTTATAATTTCTTTTTCTTTTGGCTTTTGTATTTTGTTGGATGAGCATATGTAGATGTTAGTGTAGGGTCCAGTGGCTCTCATCATTTTTGCATTGTACCGTACGATAAAACTGCCCGGTGTTAGTTTATTAGTTGGTGGCTCCTTTGAATTTTGAAGGATACTTTTGCCTGCTTTAATGAATGCACAAAAATTGGCAAGAAACGATGCAGGCATGCATGGACTGTAGCATGGTGGTGTTATATATCTTATGGTTTTTTCAATTTCTATCATGCATCTCTTCCTCAAGGGCGGTTGAATTCCCAGATAACTTCAATACTATTTATATAAAATATTGCATTACCATTTCTCATGAATTTGGATTGATGTTTATTTCGTTCAATCCGTTTCATTTTTTTTATTCATCTTAAACATAAGAATTGTTGTTGGCTGACCTAACGAGTCAAAAGTGGGTAAATAGGGTGGGTTTATACAACTTATATATATAATATATATGGGTAAGGGATCATATGAGAATAAGGGTTAATATGGTTGGTGAAAGAAGTAAGAATGAATATGCATCGTCGGATCTGTCAAATAAATTTCTGAGATTAATTCAATCACGCGTCTGCCACATGGGACGCGTGGCATAAAACCCAATTACATGGTGAAACATATGATGCTGAGGACACTAGCGTCATTTAACACAACAAAGGGTAAACGATTGTTTTGGATCCATTAATTACAGAATTAAATTTAGGTCGTCTCTCTCAGTATACCAAAACCCCTCTTCCTACAGTGTAGACAACGACGTCGACCTCACTTTAATGAGAGGTTGTCGAGCTGATTTTTCACTTCGTTTTTTTATCATCGAGCAATTTTCAAGTTGGCCTCTCTCAGATTTAGAGAGTTTGAGACAAATTTGTCGGCGATAATTTTTTTTTTTCTCATTATATTTTAAGGTTCTAGTAAAAGTGGACATGGTTGAAGAAACCGTTTCCGGCATTGGGGTATAGGAGCCAGAGTGTGCTGGGATTAAAACGAGCTCGCATTCGAAGATGACAAGTTATATAGCATGATTTTAAAATATTTATATATAGTT